GATAATTAATTATCTACCAGTCATCATGATATTGAATATCGGAAGGTAAGGCTGTCAATGAATCACAACACACGTGATCTATCCAACAGCACCCCTCCCAGATAAACACACTTATTGTGAAGGTATACATCCTGCTGACTGTTGCTTTGGGTCACAGTTCTGATTTCCCACAATGCTTTGTGTCTGCTTACGTAGCAGGAAGGCAATGTTCAGAACTCCTTGTCCCAGCTAAAACAGTAATCCATACTAAAATTTTGTATGTATTGATTTATTTTATTTTACAATCGGAGCTCCTTTTTTTAAAAAAAGTTTAATTGCTGGAGCTCAATACTTGACGTAATTGGTCGAAGCAATCGGCCAATGGGGTTAGAGACACAAATGATTTAAAGATGTTATGCTGACATCTAGTGGTCAACTGGTGCAACTACATGGAAAACTTAAAATCCAAGCTTTTATTTTGAAGGGAAGATAGTTTCCTGTAATCCGTGCTTTCGTTTCCCGTCACAAATCAAATCCGTCATGTACCCAGAATGCATTGCTTCAGTTTTCCAATAAACAGTTTTAAAATTACTTTATTGATGCTTCTTTAATGAAAAATCTACAACAAACAGAAGAAGACAGAAGCAGCCGAACTAGCAATCCTCAACAACTTTTTAATTTTTACACCAGGAGCCAAAGGTCTGTTTCAGGAAATCACATCCCCAGCAATCTGCAGTTGTAGGAATAAGCTGTAAAAGAGTTCATACAACACTAGTTGGCAGAGTTGTACGTATATTGTACATGAATTGTCAGGTAGTAAGTGTCAAATTGAACTTGCGCTTTAAAATTATCTTTCGCTAGTTTTTTATAGCATGAGCACATTTGAAGTTGCGGACCTAAATATTTTCATAAGCGCTTCAGAAATTGCGGAGCAATTTTTTTTTATTAGCGCTGCCCACCACTGGTTAAATGTTATTTATTTTTGAYGCTCTTAATTTGAAGTTTAGCTGCTAAAGGTGCTACACGCTAACACACGGTACCTGACACGACCAGCACTGCCTGGAARAGGGGATAGTTTTCATTTAATTTGAAAYCATTGGCATCAAAATTAGAAGTTTTACACTTTGTGAATATTTTAGTGGATTTATAGATACGGAGCTGAAACTCAGTGAGGTAGTAGCTGAGGGTCGACACTAACCGATGCTCTGAGGGCTAACGTATCGTAGGCGGCGGGTGATATCCATTCCTTCAACTGATGCTGGGGTATCCATTCTGAGCCTCGTCAGTAAAGGTTGAGCCGTGCTCCACCTGAGACTAACACACCTGTAAATTATTCAAAGCAGCAGATGGGAGCAGATAGGACTCAGCAGGACCAGAATTATTTGTTGTTGTTTTTGTTTAGTTTTATATTTTATTTTGGTAAAAATCAATCAACCTAATGCTTTTTATCTGTGTCGAGCAGATTTCACCAGCAGTTGTGTAAGAGCGTCCATATGTTCACTATTGGCTGTTCACTTGTCTTCTCCTGCCAGACACACACACACACACACACCGCCACGCGAAAGGTCAACCTGTGTGTGTGTGTGTGTGTGTGTGTGTGTGTGTGTGTGTGTGTGCAGTGATCTGTATAATGTGGGGTTTTTGTTTTTATTTTTTCCCTCTCGCAGCAGATAAAAACACAGCTTTAGCTCAGAGAGGGCAGCACATTTCAGAGGCTTTCATTTGTCTGAGACTAATCCTGGTGGAAGCCGAAGCTTTATTAGCTCGTGAATATCTGCAGCGTGTCGAGGGGTCTGTCTAAAATTATTCAAACAGAAACGCCCTCCAGACGACCCCTCACCACCGCCACGTGAACAGAAACCGCCTGAAGCTGCTCTGGAACAAATAATTTTATTTGTGAGCTGTGATGTTGAGTCTCAGGAAGGTGTTTAGATTTGACGCCCGTCTTCCAGAGGTTTATAGTCACCAAGTACATTTATTTACTTTGTTACAGTACTTAAGTAATTTTAGAGGATTTGTAATTTTAARAAGTATTTTTTTAATTGTTACTTTTATTTCGTTACATTTAAAAATCTAAAAATAATACTTCTTTACAAGGGGACGTTGAGCCCCCGCTTGCATTCACTACATACACATAACACAACACAGGTCAGGTGATGGGTCACATGACCCTCTATGAACAATGGAGCTAATCAAGCCTATTGTTAGTCGATGGCCCTCTTCTGCATGTGACCAACCTGTTTGTCCAGGTGGAGGCGGAGCTTATAAGACTGAGTTCACCTGAAACTCAGACTGAAGACGTCTCTTAGAGGAGAGATGAAACGTTYCACTAAAGAAGAACCATCCAGAGGACTTACTGATTTTTTCTGTTTAAAGTGTTTTTGTACAAATTAGCTGTAAATTGGATTAAATTCAGACTTTAATGCAGGAATGGTTTAAACATTTTTATTTTTTGTTTTTAAATAGATTTGAGAACTGTCACATCTGAATTACATCCTTGTCTTCAGCTGATCTTACAGCCGACAGGACGGACACCATGTCCACACTGTTGGACGTGTCCGACCAAAGACATGTAACACTTGGACAGGGACGAGGTGTTGATGTGAAAAGAGCTGAAGGTTTCCACCAGGATTTACCGTACATGTTTGTGTTATCAGCTGCAGGTCGTCCTCTGAAGACACGGAGACGTTAGACGTTGGACTGTAGGGGACTTTGTCAGGAAAAGTCCAGAGAAAAGGACCATAACATTGTCTCTGTCCTCGTCTGTCCAGGGAGCAGCCGATCTACACCACCAGGGCCCACGTCTTCCAGATCGATCCGACCACCAAGAAGAACTGGGTTCCTGCCAGCAAGCAGGCCGTCACCGTCTCCTATTTCTACGACAGCTCCCGGAACAGCTATCGCATTATCAGCGTGGATGGCTCCAAGGTGTGTGTGTGTGTGTGTGTTTCTGTTTGTCACCTTGTGAGGACCTCCTTATGGTCCAAAGACCACATGAGTCCACAAGAGTCCATGAGTCCACGAGTCTGAATGCTGTTTTGGGGTTGGGGGTTAGATTTAGGGTTCGGCTGTAGAACTGAATGAAAATGAAAAGTCCTTATAAAGATAGAAAGATCAACTCTGTGTCTGAATAACTGACATCTGCTACAGAAGCTGAGACTGAGCTGTCAAACTGACAGC